CTTTGGTGTTGGTGTCTTAGGTGTCTCATGTGTAAAATGAAGGGAGAGAATTATACAATCTCTAAGGTTCTCCATAATTCTGACATGCCATGATTCCTTTTTTCCCCAAACTACCTTTGAATTCAAACGTTGCAGTTTAGTTACTGAAGAAGAGTTCTATTTAGGCTGCAGATTAAATCAGCTTCCCCACACAATAATTTAGTGCACATTAGGAGAAAAAAATCAATAATAAAGAATAAAACCATAGAGCAATATATTGAAAATAATTTGGGGATGATATTTAGCATTGATTTTTGTTTATTTATTTACTTTTTGAGACAGGGTCTTGCTCTGTTGCCCAGGCTGGAGCACAGTAGTGTGATCTCAGCTCACTGCAACCTCCACTTCCTGGGCTCAAGTAATCTTCCAACCTCAGCCTCCCCAGTAAATGGGACTACAGGTGTGCCATCATGTCTAGCTAATTTTTGTGTTTTTGTAGAGACAGGGTTTTGCCATATTGTCCAGACTAGTCACAAGCTAACATTGCTTTTTGACTTAAAAGTTTTCAACTTTTTGATGAAGAATGATGCTAAGATATCAACAGTCAGCAGGAGGAAATGGAAATGCATTCTCATGGAAACTAGTATTTCAGTAAGAGAGAAAGCACAGTGTATTGGTCTTATATTCAGGATTTTAAAGAATTAATTTTTCATTTTTGTGGGTACATCATAGGTATATATATTTATGGGGTGCATGAGATGTTTTGATACAGGCATGCAATATGAAATAATCACATCATGGAAAATGTGGTATCCATCACCTCAAGCATTTATCCTTTGTGTTAAAGCAATCCAATTAGTTATTCTAAAATGTACAATTAAATTATTATTACTGATGTCACCCTTTGTACTATCAAATACTAAGTCTCATTATTTCTTTTTTTTTCTTTTTTTTATTATTATACTTTAAGTTCTAGGGTACATGTGCATAATGTGCAGGTTTGTTACATATGTATACTTGTGAAGTCTCATTATTTCTATTATTTTTATACACATTAATCATCCCCACTTTTCCTCAACCACTCCACTATCCTTTCCAACCTCTAGTGACAATGCTTCTACTCTCTATATCCATGAGTTCAATTGTTTTAATTTTTAGCTCCCACAAATAAATGACAACATGCAATTTTTGTCTTTCTGTGCCTGGCTTATTTCACTTAGCATAATGATCTCCAGTTTCATCCACGTTTTGCAAATGACAGGATCTCATTATTTTTATGACTGAATAGCACTCTATGGTGTACATGTATCACATTTTCTTTATCCAGTCATCTGTTATGGATATTTAGGTTGCCTCCAAATCTTACCTATTGTGAACAGTCCTGTGACAAACATGGGTGTGCAGATGCCTCTTTGATATACTGATTTCCTTTCTTTTGGGTATATACCCAGCAGTGGGATTGCTGGATCATATGGCAGCTCTATTTTTAATATTTTGAGGAACCTCCAAAGTCTTCTCCATAGTGGTTGTGCTAATTTACATTCCCACCAACAATGTATGAGGGTTCCCTTTCCTCTACATTCTCGTCAGCATTTGTTATTTCCTGTCTTTTGGATAGAAGCCATTTTATCTGGGGTGAGATGATATGTTATTGTAGTTGTGATTTGCATTTCTCTGATGATCAGTGATGTTAAGCACCTTTTCATATGCCTGTTTGTCATTTGTGTGTATTCTTTTGAGAAATGTCTATTCAAATATTCTGCCCATTTTTCATTGGATTATTATACTTTTTTCCAACAGATTTCTTTGAGCTCTTTATCTATTCTGGTTATTAATTCTTTGTCAGATGAATAGTTTGCAAATATTTTCTCCCATTCTGTAGGTTGTCCCTTCAGTTCGTTGATTGCTTCCTTTGCTGTGAAGAAGCTTTGTAATTTGATGTGATCCCATTTGTCCATTTTTGTTATGGTTGCCTGTGCTTGTAGGGTATTGCTCAAGAAATTTTTGCCCAGACCGAAGTCCTGGAGATGTTCCCCAAAGTTTTCTTGTAGTAGTCTCATAGTGTGAGGTCTTAGATTTCAGTCTTTTAATCCATTTTGATGTGATTTTTATATATGGCAAAAGATAGGGGTCTAGTTTCATTCTTCTGCATATGGATATCCAGTTTCCCAGCACCATTTATTGAAGAGACTGTCTTTTTCTCCAGTGTATGTTCTTGATATTCAGCAATTTTGGATTAACATTAATATTTTAGCTGTCTCATCACCTCTCAGGGTGATTAAAAATTATGTCCAAGGCTTTAGTATTCTCATCTGCAGATCCATCTAGAAAAGGTAATCTCTGAAGCCTTATATATTTCCCCTATGATTCTATGAGGATTCTCCTTTCTGCCCCATCTAGTAATTCAAGATTTTTTTTTCATTCAGTTTATGAATCTACTTCCAAGAAACTGAATTAGGCTACCCAGGATCAAGATCTTCCACCGTGAGAGTTAAGGGATAATGAGAAAGGGGTTTGCACGAAATTAGTTGAGCTGCCACAGCCCTTCCCCCTACAGCCCATGTCAGATGGATCTAGACCATTGGTGGCCTGAGCCAGGGGTGGACTGTCACCTGACAATGTACCTGTATTTATCTCCTCAGCATACTGATGTCAGTTTGTTAGTTCTGCACTACAGTTCCCTTCTTTCTTCCCCCTTCCCAATGGAGCATCTGTATCACTTCTTGTGATCTGTCCACTAAACCAGCCAGTCTTGTCTACTGTTGACTAGGTTCCAGTTCCTCTCTGGCCAAAGCTTTCCTTATGGCTTTTGTCTGATGAGGGTGCCAATTGCTTGTTGTTAATATTTATACTTGAATAATGCATTCGAGTGCATAAACCACTAGTCTGATAAAGAGAAAACACACTTTGAATGCTTCTAGATGTGAAGCAGTAAGCCTGATAATTTTAATATATTGTATTTTTTTTAACTTTAATACAACATATGTGTGAAGTTATTTTAATTTTAAAGATCCTAAAGCTATTACTAGGGGTGTTATATGGCTTGCCTAATGTCATACAACGAATAAACTCAAATGCATGTTTCCAGACTCTTTAAGCCTGCTTATTTTTTCCCATGTGTATCTATTATATAACTTGATTATTTCAACAGCTCCATAAGTTAAGTAGGGAAAGGATTACTTGCTTTGTTTTACTTTATTTTGCTTTCTGCTCTATCATAACACCTCGAACAGTAATAGACACATAGTTAATAAAAATGCATTGGATGATTAAGTGAATTAAATTAGGTTTATAAAGTTCAAACTCACTTGGTTATCAGCTACAGTGTGGCAGTTTAGAGTGAGAACTATTCAAATAAGATGTTTATACACTTCTGTAACTCTCAGGACCTTTTCAGAACAGAAGCCTTGTTCACTGTTAGGGATAAATATTATGGGGAAGACATACTGATGTTTATACTATTCTGTAGCTTTTTCTGAGGATCTTTACAGAACGGGAGCCTTGTTCACTGCTAGGGATAAATATTAGTGGGAAGATGTACTGACTGTCTCCTAAGACTCCTTCTTAACTAGAATCTTGACTTTTATAGCCCTGATTAACTGGATGCTAGGAATAGTTATTACATATGTATTAATGTCAATTTCCTGGGTTCAAGTTAAGAATGAGGAAAAACTGAGACTTAAAGACATACAAGTGCTGGCCGGGCATGGTGGCTCATGCCTGTAATCCCAGAACTTTGGGAGGCCGAGGCAGGCAGATCACGAGGTCAGGAGATCGAGACCATCCTGGCTCACACAGTGAAACCCCGTCTCTACAAAAAATACAAAAAATTAGTCAGGTGTGGTGGCGGGCGCCTGTAGTCCCAGCTACTCGGGAAGCTGAGGCAGGAGAATGGCATGAACCCGGGAGGCGCAGCTTGCAGTGAGCCAAGATCATGCCACTGCACTCCAGCCTGGGCGACAGAGCGAGACTCCATCTCAAAAAAAAAAAAAAAAAAAAAGACATGCAAGTGCTATAAGATGCTTAATGGTAGCTCCAATCACAAATACACCTGGTACTAGGACCCAGGATTTCTAGCTTCTGGTCCTTTACTTGATTCCACACCATGCTTCTTGACCCTTGGCAAAAGCCATATCTTTTACCATATTCCTATTTCCTCTGAACTACCCAGGGCCTTTATTTCTAGTCCTGTCAAACAACACCGAGCTCCTCCTCAAAAAGTGAAAGTATCAGTCACAGTGCCTAAGCCTCATTAGGTGATTAGTAAAGTGCATAGTCTTCAGAAGGACTTACAGAAGTAATCCAAATTGAAGAATCAGGAGGTACCTAAAGGACACTGGAAAGTTAGAGAAGTTGGATCATAGCCTTATGCCTGCCTCTCACTAGCAATATGACTTTGGGGAAATTTGGTTTCTTGTCTGTGCTTGTTTTCCTGTGTATAAAATGAGAGTGATTAAGGCATCTCGTAATAGTCTTAAAGTCTGGTAGCTTTAACATTTGATGAACTACTACTGCTTGGTTTCCCTATCTCCATAGGATGAGGGTAGAAGTAGGCCATATACAATTCAAGGATCTCTCTGACCCTGTTTTTCTGTGAACTTAAATTTCTCTGGGCTAGAAGTGAGGTAAGTTCTCAGTAACATTTCCCTTCTTTATTTTGATGCCTGTTTAATCATGCAACACAATTTTATCAACCAACTGTATACCGGGAAATGTTCTCAGTGACATTCTGTCTAGAATTTCTGCTTGTGTCTCTTTACTGCTGGGATGGGGCCAGGATATATGCCTGGCAAAGCTCATACCAATGCTAGAGTAAGAGTTCAAGTATTAACCACACTATCTGCCTCCTACACAAGCAATCATTGTGACAAATATGTAGTAATTGTTATTTTGGTTAAGATATAGGTCTATGTAATTGGCCCAGTCTATTAATTGAAATCTTCTTGAATTAAAATATCTAGTCATGTATTTTTTTTCCTATTAAGAACTATTATTTTTTTCTTTTCTTTACATTGCCTCAGGCTGTCTCCTAAGCACGCCCCAGATATTCCTGATGACAGCACTGACAACATCACTATCTTCACCAGAATCTTGGATCGTCTTCTGGACGGCTATGACAACCGGCTGCGACCTGGGCTTGGAGGTCAGTCCTTTTAAGATCTTCTTCTTGGCCATTGTTATCTAAAAAGAGTTATAAGGTGCCTTCAGTAGTCTGTTGGCCAATGAGATTAATGTAAAGCTGAATTTCTTCCCTATGAGCACTGAAAATTAGTCATAATCCTTCATTTCAGTAGGTGATTTCTCTGGTCTGATTTCAGAAGATTCTAGATTTTTGCTAGGTGCATATTGAGTAATACACAGATGTTCCATGACTCACAATGCTTTGACGTATGATTTTTGTCTTTATGATGTGATTTTGGGACATAGCCCAATGGATTTAGACTTATGACATTTCCAATTTATGATGGGTTTATTGGGATGTGGTCTTATAAGTTGAGGAGCATCTCCACCTCAAGGTTAGACAATGCCCATTTCTAGTAACAGAATACCAATACCTGCCTGGATGACTGGTGTAGTCCAGGAAAAGCTGAGAAACATGCCTTTGTTTTCAAAATCCTGAGCATATATCAGCCTGACACTCCAAAAAGGAATAATCTACTGGCTATGTGAGATCTTAGTTGGTTATCAGTTTAGTATAATCAGCAATATGATCGCAATAAGGTAAATGTATTATAATATATCAGGGGCTATTATAAATTCACAAAATGTAACCTAATGCTATTTTATAATTTGTAGTCCATATTCAAAATTTTCCAATTATCCCCAAAATGTACTTTATAGAAATTTTCATTGATTTAGGATTCAATCCAGGATTATGCATTGCATTTATTGTTGTGTCTCTTCAGCCTACATTCAGCATTTCTTTGTTTTTTATGACATTGATTAGATCTTCCATATTCATTTTCGAAGTAACACCATAGGAGTTAATTATGTCTTTGTCAGCACATTACTCAAGAAGGGACTTGATGTCTGTTTGCCCCATTACTGGTAGTGCTAATTTAGATGTTTACCAGGTTGCTGCACTCTAAAATTACTATATTTAAAGTTTATAATTAATACGTAATTTGTGGAGAGATGTTCTGACACTATTTTATGCCTTTTCCAGCTTATACCCAACAGTCTTAGCAACTACAGATTATCTTTGTGAGACTAATAACAATTATAGTGACAAAATGGTGATTTTCTAAATCTATTATTATTCTACACTTATTAAATTACATTTTATTGTAAGAAAAAAATCTTTTTTTCTCTTTAATTAATTAGCTAATGTCAGTATGAATGGATTCTTGTTTTATTCAATGGATTACAGACATTGATATCATTCATTTCAATAGACTATATTTATTTTGACTAAGATTTTTGCTAGTAATTTCCCATATTCCCTAGTGGAAGCCTATTCCATTTGGCTTCTGTTTCCTTTTGATATGCTCTCATTTTCTGAGTACTTTCTTATTATATGGCATGACAGTATATTCCAGACTTATTTTATACTTTCGATAATCCAGCCTTGGAATTAGTCATTTTTCCAAGCATAAGTGGTACCTTTTGTGGGAAATTACATTTATAATCAAATTTCTGGCTGCTAGGTGTCCTCATTACTGCTAGGATCTCATTGCTTCCAGGATTTTTCAGTAGATAGAACTGGGAAAATAGCAAATGCACACACACTCACACGTATATACACACACAGATGTATTGTATATATGTATGTGTATGTGCATGTATGGCAATGAGTTTACACTGATACTACTAATTGCAGTCCAGCAAGTACTTTTAATTGATACATTTACCCATTTGTTTAATCCTACAATATACAAAACTATTTTGAAATTACTATACCCATACTACTACAATAAACACATTAAGTAAAGTTAAAGATATATTTGCAGTTTTTTCATTGTGTTTTGATTTTGGACTAAGGCCATATAACACCTGCTTTTATATAAATAATGGATTAGAGTAGAGCAGTATTGAAGGAAGAGAGACCAGTCACAAATTAATCGCAATTTTCTAGGATGTAAAGAATGACTATGTGAATGCAGAAAATTTGGTGACTGCTTAGATTATGGGGTTAGAAAAAGTGGAGGAGAAAGGGATAACTTCTAGGTTCCTGGCTTGTATGGTTGGGTGGTGCTATTTTCTAAAATGGGGAAAACTGGAGGGAAAATGGTGCAATTTCGTTTTGTTTCTTTTGGATTTGTGGTTGGAACAATTAATATGGAAAGAAGAGAAAGAAAGTAAGGACCAGATTTACTCTCTCATCTTAAACAACCACAAAGAAATGAACAAATATATAGTGTTTTACAGAAATCAAACAAAGGCAGCACAGGATATTGATTCCTGAAAGAAAGAAAACAAACAAGGTGAGCTCTGTGGTTGCTGATGCTTAACTGATTGGAGAAAATTTTTAGGCTACAGTGCAGGGAGGGGAACCCAAATAGTGTCTGGTGGACTGTTTCAGTTGAGAAGAAGTTGAGAAATTGGGGATGCCAAGGTTATTGATTCATAAGGCAGAGGAGAAGATAAAGCTGCATGGAGAATAAAAAGTTGTGGGGGGAGAGAGAGAGAGAGAGAGAGAGAGAGAGAGAGAGGCAGAAATCTGTAGAGGGTGCTTCACAAGTTTTCAGGTATGTACTGCTTACCTCACAACTCAAGGATGAGGAAAAGACCACTGAAAACAGTGGGTAAAACTAAAACATCAGGGTTTGGAATAACTTGTGTTTTCACCAACCAGAGTTTCCACCACTCTACTTGGTGGAAACACTTTTAACACATGGTACATGGGGTAGGGTACTCAGAAGAATATGACCTCAGTGGCATGGCAAAATTATCCCAAGACTAAAGGCTGCTGTAGTCCCACCTGACAAAGGTTAAAATCAAACTTCAAAGACTTTAACTATTTCTAAGTAACTGAACATTATCTCAGAACAAAAATCAAAAAATATTTATAGCAATACAAAAATCTGATATCTAATGGAGTGGAATTCACAATGATTCCAGTCAAAAGTTTCCAGTCAAAAAATTTGAGAAAAATTTCCAGAAAAAAATTTCCAGTCAAAAATCACCAACCATACAAAGAAACAAGAAAGTACAAACCAAAAAGGACAGCAACGCTAATAAGCCTGAAGATATAGCAATAATAATTAGCAAAAACAAGACATGGAGAGAAAAAAAAGACTGAAAAATGAAACGGAAATCAGTGCACTGTGGTATAGCTTCATGTAGTCTAATGTAACTGTAATGGGATTATTTGAAGGGGGCAGAAAATATACTTGAAGAAAAACTGGTTTAAAAATTCTGACTTTTTGGGCAAATGACATTAATAGACATTTCTCAAAAGAATATATATAAATGGTTAAGAAACATATGAAAAACTGCTGAACATCACTAATCATCAGGGAAATGCAAATTAAAACCACAATGAGATACTATGTTCCTCCTGCAAGAATGGCCATTATTAAAAAGTCAATAGAGCCAGGCATGGTGGTTCATGCCTGTAATCCCCAAACTTTGGGAGGCTGAGGTGGGCAGATCACGAGGTCAGGAGTTCCAGAGCAGCCTGGCTAATATGATGAAACCCTGTCTCTACTAAAACTACAAAAACTAGCCAGGCATGGTGGGGTGTGCCTGTAGTCCCAGCTACTCGGGAGGTTGAGGCAGGAGAATCACTTGAACCCGGAGACAGAGACTGCAGTGACCCGAAATCATGCCACTGCACTCCAGCCTGGGCAACAGAGTGAGACTCCATCTCAAATAAAATAAAATAAAATAAAAATAAAAACAAAAATAAAAATAAAGTCAGGCTGGGCGTGGTGGCTCATGCCTGTAATCCCAGCACTTTGGGAGGCCGAGGCACGTAAATCACAAGGTCAAGAGATCAAGACCATCCTGGCCAACATGGTGAAACCCCATCTCTACTAAAAATACAAAAACTTAGCTGGGGGTGGTGGTGTATGTCTGTCGTCCCAGCTAGTCAGGAGGCTGAGACAAGAGAATGGCTTGAATCTGGGAGGCAGAGATGGCAGTGAGCTGAGATCACGCCACTGCACTCCAGCCTGGCAGCAGAGCAAGACTCAGACTCAAAAAAAAAAAAAAAAAAAGTCAATAGATGTTGTTATGGATATGGTGAAAGGGAAACATTTATGCACTGCTAGTGGGCATGTAAATTAGCACAACCTCTGTGGAAAACAGTATGGAGATTCCTTAAAGAACTAAAAGTAGAGCTACCATTTGATCCAGTAATCCCACTACTTGGTATCTATTAAAAGGAAAAGAAGTCATTATGTAAAAAAGACACATGCACACATATGTTTATTGCAGCCCAATTCACAATTGCAAAGATATGGAACCAACCTAAGTGCCCATCAACCAATGAGTGGAAAAAGAAAATGGGATACATACTACTTGGCCATACAAAGGAGTGGAATAATGTCCTTGCAGTAACTTGGGTGGATGGAGCTGGAGGCCATTATTCTAAGTGAAATAACCAAGAAATGGAAAACCAAATACTATATGTTGTCACTTATAAGTGGTAGCTAAGCTATGATTACACAAAAGCAGACAGAGTGATATAATGGACTTTGGAGACTCAGAAGTGGGAGGTTGAGAGGGAGGTATGGGAAAAAACAGTACATATTGGGTACAATGTACACTACTCAGGTGATGGGTGCACTAAAGTCTCAGAATTCACCACTATGTAATTCATCCATGTAACCAAAAACACTTGTACCCCAAAAGATATTGAAATAAAAAAATTAAACAGTTCTAACTTTGATTAAAATTGCAATCTCCCCAACCAAGAAAGTCAACAACTCCAAGGACAAGAAGCATGAAGAAAATTACACCAAGAGAAAGGAGAAAATTGCTTAGAACCCATGATAAAAAGAAAATCTGAAAAGCAAATAGAGTAAAAGAAGACATTATGTACAGATGAAAAACTTTGAAGGATACTAGACTTTTTGTCAGAAGGTAGTGGAGCAACAGCTTTAAAGTACTGAGAGAAAAACAAAAGCCAGCCTAGGATTCTATAACCAGAAAAAATAAATTTCTCCCAAAAAGGCAAAATAAACACTTTTTTCAAAC